AATCCCTAAGACACTTTAAATAAATAAAAAATTAAAAATGTGTTTTCTAGGTGATAATATATCAAAAAGATGAAGCATGCTATAGAGAAGGGAAAAAAATGAGCAACAAATGATTCATCATCGAGAAGAAGCGAATAAGCGGGATGCCATCCATTTCTAGATTGGTTCATATGAAATCACCTTATCATCCATCAATAGGCAATTGAAGCTGGTTGGTTGACCATTGTTTATTGATGTCCATACTCTACATACGCGCCACGACATGCCCCTTCATGGATGTACATCTTCAAATCATTCAATTGAGTTGCCATGATTTGAACGAAGGTACTGCCAAGGAAAGAAAAAGCCAAAAATGTTAAAAGCATTTAATGATCGACAAAGCGACCAAATAAAGCAAGGTATAATCTAAAAATTGAAAATGACCAAAGAGCTGATCAAGTCATATGATGGGGGAGCAAACATGAATATGTGCCTTATTGATTCAAAGAAAAAAAAATTTAAATGGTATAATAAATGATGAAATACCTTTAGGTAAAGCATTCAAAACATCTTTATAAACAATATTCTTGACATAGCCATGTTCGAGTATTAGTATCACCAATTGTGATTATTTTGAGACCATTTTTAGAAGTGACTCTAGAAACAACAACATAGTAGTCGTCCATGTGTGAAGACTTGGTCAATCAAGAAAACTCCAACCTTTTTTAGAGATTGTCCTTGACTCTTGTTAACTCGTCATCGCATAACATGGTCTAATAGGAAGCTGGTAGACGTTTGAGAGTGAATGGCCATTTAGTTTACGTGATCGAGAAAACAATTCTCGATATGAAAACTCGAGCACCTATATTATTACCGGTTATAATTCATGCTTCAATGACTTGATTCGCAAGTTGCGTGATTATAAGCCTTGTTCCATTGCATAAACCACATGATTGATTGATGTTTTGCAATAGCATGATGGGTGTGCCAATTTTCAAGGAAAGATTGTGTGAAGGCACTCCATTAAACTCAAGTTGGTTTATGAATTCAATGGGATATAAAAGGTCAAGATTTTCGAAATCCGATGCGAGCTATAAATGGAATCGGTGCTTAAATATGTTTGTTTTTCACCGGGAATATGATCGAGGACATAATCATTAATGTCTCGAACAATATTATTTTTAGGTGTGATTATAGCCCTTTCCCTAAAATAATCATCTAACATTGTGCATTGCCCGAGTTCTGGGTAGATTGCAGAGACAATGCAATCAATTGGTTCCTTAATAACTGGAATAAGGAATTCATGCGGTATTTTAATGAATGAAACATCATCATCATCGGAATTAGGAAGGTCAAAAATCCTGCCTTCGCCAATTTTAAGAATCCAATCGGCGAAATTTTTAATGCAAACCTTTCCTCATCATTGAGGCCTTCATCTCGATAGCCGTATGTTCTTTTTCAAAGTATAGACCTTGAATTTTGACCAAAGAAATGAACTACTGAGAGAAGCATGAACAATTCCTTCCCTTGTCCCACTAGGAATAACAGGCAGGATTTGGCAAAAATCTCCACCAAGAAGAACAGTTTTTCCTCCAAACGGATGATCTTGTATGTTATTATTTGATTCAATAAGAACATCGCGTAGAGTTCTATCAAGAGCTTCGAAGCAACTTCGATTATTCATTGGAGCCTCATCCCACACAATAAGCGATGTTTTTTGAAGCAAGCTAGATAAATGAGTGTTTTTCTTAATGTCGCATGTCCTATTTTCATCAAGGCTAAGAGGAATCTTGAATCTAGAATGAGCAATTCTACCTCCAGGGAGCAACAATGATGCAATGCCAGAAGATGCAACAGTAAGAACAATGAGACTTTCAGAACGTATTTTGTTGATTATAGTGTGCCAAATGAATGTTTTACTAGTGCCTCCATGGCCATGAACAAAGAATAGACCGCCTTTTTTATTAACAACTGAATCAATTATTGAAGCATAAATCTCTTGCTGTTCAGCGTTCAATTTTACAACTGATGACCAATGTTGTTTTCTGAGATCATCAATATCATAATCAAGCTCTTCTCTTAAGAGCTTGTTTTTAATTTTAGACATGAGTGTTTCATGAGGCATCGGAAGATTATGCTCTACTAAAGAGGTGGATGCTGTATTGAACAAAATCTCAAGCTCATACAAAATATAATTTTGTAATTCAGAATATGATATATGAAGATTTGGCAATGCAAACACACTTTTAAGCTTTGAGAGGATGTCATCATACATGTACAACTAGTTTTTGTAAAAGAACTATTTAGGATCAGCAAGACCACAAAACAAAACCATGCTGACAAATAACTGTCTTAATTGGAAAAAGGAAGCTGTTACCATTGACTCATCAAAAGCCTCATTCCACTCTCTATCATCACCCAAAAGACCAAGTGCATCGCAAGCAGCTTGGAAAGTTGGATGAACAATTCTATAAACTGTCTTTATACTATGAAAGTTTACAGGGCCTTTCACATGATTCAATAAAATCTGCAGAAAATAAAGTTCACCAGCAGTAGGATGAACATAGGCAATTTTACCAACACTCCGACCTCGAGACCTTGGAGACCATTCCTTATTTGTAGCATCCCATACATAAGCAGACGAAATCTGTGAGTAATAAAGCATATGAGCAATAGGGTCGGTTCTATTAATGTTAAACCACTCTGTTAACATAGTTTTGTCAATTCCAAGCCTATTGATGACTGAGGATAAACGATCATTTTCAGATAAAACAACAAATTGTTGTTGTGGTAAATGCACTGATAAGCGTTCAACTGAAGGGTCCCTAAAGTGGATAGGAAATTGGAAAATACGTTATATAGCCTCATATGGACAAATAAAACGACAATTTAGGTAGCCTTGTATTTCATTAGCATCCTCCTTTTCAACAACCAACCTAGCCCTATCTGTGCCCTTGCTAACATATTTGAACATATATTTTATAAGCATTAACTGATAGCAAATCTCAATATTAATATGAGCTTTGTATCTTAGAAGCAATTCTCTATTATAAGGAACAACAAAGTCATTGCCGAACCTGATCCCATTCTTTATAACAAAGCGCGATGGATCATCTCGGTGTTTGTAAGAAACAAATCCATTATCATCGAAAATAGTGGAGGTCTAAAATTTTTTGGAAATCATTTTAAACATCTACCAAGTTTCATGCAAGGAACATTTGGATTGACAATGCCATATGGACCATGTATCATAAACTGTGAAACTATTTCATAGCAATCGAGATCTTGATCTTTATCAGGTATTTCAGCAGATACGATAGAGTCAACATCTTCAGCTGAATGACACTTTAATTCTGGACCAAGCCATATCAAGAGATGGCTATGAGGAAGCCCTCGTTTTTTAAACTCAACAGCACAAACATCTGATAGGGAAAAGATTAAATGTTTATAAAAGAGTTTTAGGAGAAAACCTAATGATCAAAATAGAAAAAAGGAATTGAAATGTTACATCGATTCATACCAGCTATTATTTGACCAAATGGTCTACCGGATTTAATAAATGAGATCATATGATCAAGCTTGGTTTTGAACACTCGAGTTATAATATCTGGTATATCCTCCAGTTTGTAATGTTTATTTTTTCTAAGCTCTCTTCTAATTTCAGGCCATCTAACATTACATGTAAAGGTTATAAAGAGATCTGGATTACCATAAGCTCTACAAATAGCCATAGCATCTTGATAATTATTGATCATGTACCTAACACTTCCAGTAAAAGAGAAAGGCATCAAAATTCTTCCAATATCAGAAGCATTAGTGTCACCTCTTAAAACAGCATCATGAATCCCTTTATACTATTCACTTCTTAGATTTTTTTGGTTTGCTCTGATGTAATCAAGGCGATCTTCTTCAATAGTTACAAAAGCATCAACCAGAAACTGCTGAAAAAGTCGACCACCTTTTAGCAAAGTAGCATCCTCGTCAATTCTTTCATGCAGATAGTATGCATAGTAGGCTCTCATAGGAACACGCTGTCTTTTCGAAACTAAGCCACAGAAATTGCTATTCCATTTTAAATTAATACGATAACCATCCTCCCCGAAAGGGAAAAGGAGGGGATATTGTAGAGACATGTATTTAGGATGCAATTTAGAAATTCTTTGAAGTGAATCAGATTTGTTTTCAACTAAAATATCTCTTTCAGAAAAGAATTCACCTATATCTCTAACAACCAATCCTCCAATATCATCAGATGTTGGCAAATCAAATTGACGTTCATCACAATCTCTCCTTCCAAGCAAACGCAATCTATAACTAACATCACTCTGGTTCGATATTCTTTCTTTCGCCATTCGAAATAGTTTCACCAACAGATTAGTTGAATCAAATAGCTCGATCAAGTTTTTCACAACATCTCCATCAAGAGCTCGGTTATTGGAAGATAAGACCAAGTGCATTCAATCGATTGCCTACCTCGTTTTATGTGTCATATACATAAAGCTGAGCAAACTTCGAAGCCTCGCCATCGATAGGCAAAAGAGAGCCCATTAGATGGTGAACTTGCCCGCTAATTTTGAAAACATAAGGTCCAGGTCGATTATTAATGGAGGTATCAAGTTTTGCACCCATTGATGTGAAAGCAAACATTGAGTTGTAAGCTCTAATGTTCTCTCTAAATTTATTTGATGAAGAAACTTCAGTTGAATCAAGCATTCTATCAAGTATGTGAGGAGTGGGTTAGGAGGCGCTAAATTTTACTTTGCCATTAAGGCAACATAGTGAGAATTTTGGCCTAGACATCGTAGATGATTTAAGGCGTTCTTTCAACCAAAAAAGAGCATCACAATGTTCGCATTGATGTGTTTTATCGCCAAAATCAACATATCCATCATCGCGCCCTAATGAACAGGTAAAAAGGAAATTCAATCTAACAAAAAGGAATCAGGAATAAACATTTTCAATCAGATGAAGTTTTCTGGAATGATGGAAAACTCACTTTTTCTTTTTCTTTGGTAAGATATCTAGGTAGGCACACAAAAAGAGTTTGTGGGAGTAGATAATTTTACAAGAGGTAGACCAAGGTGTTCAGAGGCATCGGTTGGCTCAAACGACGACTGCAAAGCTTCGTCAGCTTCAGAAGAAATAGGGAGGATCGGTTGAGAACCACCAACAACCAATCTTTCAGAGTTAAGATTTCTAAAATTCTGATGAGGTAAGATGAAATATAATTGACGTTCAACAGGAATCACGTCATTAATGCAAGATGATGATGCACTGAGGGAAGGAGTGCATCCAAAATCAAATGCAATTGCATCAAGTCGAGTGGTATGACGATGACTTGTTTCGAACCTATGGCCTAACACATCAACAGGAAGGTCAAAGCCGGGGCTTTGATATAAAGAGGATGTATTCTGGTTTGGATTGAATAATGTGTCGTCAGAGATCGAATAATCACAGAAGGATGTGTCTCGACCAAAAGAAGAAGGTGTTGGATCAGAAGCAGGCAAGGCATCAAGCGGGAGGCCAATTTCTGGGTATTGATCAGCCGAAAACATATGATCTATAGCAGAAGAGCGAGATCTGCCTCGTCTACCACAGTTTAATTGCCTATAAGAAGATGATGTAGACATAGCAACAACTGAACCAAAACGTAATGAAAGGATAAATGGTGAATAAAGGATCAATCGTAAAAGACTGTCCTAGTGTCATTTAGAAAAGAAAAAAATGCAAGGCAAAAAAACTGAAAACGAACAAATAATAATAGATGTCAAACGTCATATATTTGTCATTCATTATTTCTAAACGAAGAGGATAAAAAAGGCAAGGAACATCGTTTCCCTCCCCCCGCCCCCCCCAAAAGAATCATACAGTTAATAAGGAAGAGTAAGGAAAAACCAAAGTTATTTTTTCTTAAGAGATAATATATCTTTATAAAGGAAGGCTTATTTCCATTTGGTGTTTTACTATATCCCAAGGAATTTTATTCTTAATTCTATAGGCTATGCTTCTACCAAAACTGTTTGTTTATGTTTGATAGAGGAAAGGGAAAAATTAACAAACGCGATTAACAAATGATAACTCTAACAATACTAAACGCTAATCCAACATGCATCATTTTAATAAGTTTTTTAATTTTTTAACAATTGTACAATCTTATTGATTTGATACATGAAGGCCTATTTTTAACATAAAAAATACAGGATTTTGTTAACTGGGTGCATACTTATAAGAACCTTAATCCAAGATTTTTTCAGTTGACATACATGATGTGCTCTGCATTACTTACAAAAGCATTTCAATGGCAACGTGTTGTTTTTTTGTATCTTAGAATATATATTACTAAAAATATTATTTTGAAGTAAATGTGGGTGTTTTTCATTTATATAAGCACATGCATTTCCTAAAACACTTAATTCTGGTGTTTTTTTTTTTTTAACGGATTACATTGTCAATAGCTTATAAAAATACATCAATTAAGGCCTATCGCAATGCTTTGCTGCGCATGAATGCTTTATTCAATCGCAATGGTTTATTATAATAGTCCTCATTAAGTATACAACAGAGAAATGACAAAACTATAGATCTATCATAATTATCTGGCTTGATAGTGTATAAGAAAAAGAGCATCAATAATGTTTCGTCAAGGTATAGGGGAAAAATGGAAAATGTCATAGCCAATGGAAAAATCAATAATAAAACAGCCAATCAAAACCTATGCAGTGTCTTAATTTGGATAGATTTTGGAAAAATTTTTCCTTTCTTTACTCGAGGATGTATATTGTTAAAACTATTCAATATTCATATGAATTCGTTTTTTTTTATATATGACAGTCTGATTTTTAGAAAAGACATTGTTTTCATGAGAAACAGGGTTTTTTGTTTTTTTATTTATTTTTTGAAAAAAAAATTTTAAAACGTTTTATCAGAGCTCTATCACAGAGTTTTAGTATAGTACTTATAGATCATTAAATGAATATATTTTTTTTGAAGAACAGTTCTCCATATTGTTCATTTCTATGTTAGCTCTACAGCCTAAAAGACTTAAGGTGTTAAATAATAATAATTATTGAATGAATTTGGTTAACCTAGCCAAGCATAGAGTGTATAAGAAAACCAGCAGAAAGAATGCTTGACAAAGGCACAGTCAAATGTTAAGTCGACTAATTTAGTTTTGTTAGAATGTTTTTCTCAACTATTGATGCTCTCACTCAAAGGTTGCATACATTTTGTTATCTATTAATGGAGTAAAAAACAAAAAACCATACAACAGAATGCGGCAAATTCCACTCAATCAATGGCGAGGAAAAGGATCCAAAAAGATAAAAGTAGAACCAGGTAAAACATAATAGATGACATAGCAAGAAACCATTCTCATGCATAACTGATTCAGTAAAGAAAAAATGCCGCAACAGAATCAAAAGGGGGAAGGCGACGAAGAAAGCTCACTTGTTAGTTTTAATGAAGAAAGGAAAACCTCCGAAGCACTGGAAACTGGAGCTGTGCAACAAAGAAACAAAATCGATCTTGTTGGATGAAAATGGGAAAAAAGAAGAATGGAAAAGCTTTTAAAGCAAGGACAAAAAAATAACTATAGGTTTCGAAAAAAACAGAGTTTGATCGGTCTCAAAGCATATAAGCTAAAAAAATTGAGCGAGCAACAAAGCTTCATAGATGGGAAAAGACTGCTACAACCCTTTTTTTCTATTGGTTTTACATAAGACGATACAGAGATGAAAAGACCAGAATCTATTACAAAAAAGACTAATAATAGCTTAATTATAGCTATAGGAAATTGTGGCTACATAATGCAAAAATTTCTTGCTTGGCAACAAATAAGGTCATTAAAACATCCAACTAGTGCCTGTTATCAATGGCAGGCAACGGGCAGCATCTATAATCCAAGCAGGAAATAGGGAAAGCAACACACAAAAATCAAACATGAAAAAAAATAGGAAAAAAATTCCATTCTCCTGTATCTACATTGATGACTTAAACGAAATGGTGGAAGTGAATGAATCACAGAGAAGGTCAATCAAGGGAAAGAATCCAATAAGTTAGCTGATGCAGACCATTAAATGGTGTGTGAAATGCTGCGAAACAGGGTAAAGGCCTATCATCAAAAAGAGGTAGCAGTAAAAGAAAGTGGAAAAGCACATCACAAAAGCATAAGTGCCATGCATGAAGAGAAAAAATGGGAGGCGGAAAACTATAATAAGAAAGGGAACAAAGAAGCAAAAACCTGCTAGTTTCGATGAAGAAGAGAACGACTTCCAAGTGAGGATAGATGCAGCTACATAATCCAAAAACACCAAGGAGCTTGTTAGTTCGAAGGGCAACAACAATATTCGATCGAAAACAGCAAGATCAATGACAATAACAATAAAAAATCAAATCAGGAGCAAACAGACCAAAGCTTTTATAGGGCATGGAAAAAATAAAATCAAATATCATAAGATATGCTGGAAAAAGTTCATAAAGAAAAGAAGATAAAAGAAAAAAATCAACTAGCAAATCACATAACAAACATTCAAAAGAAATTGAACCAAAAACAAATTAAAAAGAATTTATGTTCGTTGACTTGAGGAACTGACAATCATAAGCGAAGAAAGAATAAACCAATAAGGGCATCACGAATAGTGGTTCTCATAGAAGGGCAACAAATGTCAAAATAAAACAAAGTGACATCGAAACAATTCAATATAAAAATAATGGTTAACAATCAGTTCCACGGAACAGAGAATACGTTCAAAAAGTCTTTTTGATTTAAAAAAAGCACTCATGAATAGTGGTTATCATAGAAGGAAAACAAATGGCAAAATACAAAAAAAGTGACATTAAAACAATTCAATATAAACATAATGGTTAACAATCAGTTCCACGGCACAGAGAATATTTGCTAAAAGGGTCTTTTAAAAAAAAGCACTTGTGACCATGAGTCCTATATTCAGGACTGGCATTTTTTTTTCATTGGTAATAATGAGTCAGCGTCAAATTTTAAAAAATCAACAGTTCAATTCATGTAACAGCAAGAAAAAGGTTCATGCCCACAAACAAATAACATGGGTTTCAAGTTTTAAGTTGCAGCTATCATAAGTGGGAGTCCAAATTTTTCCAGCACATCAACCGAATTTAACATAAAAGACAAAAATAGTTGGTGTATATATATGTACATTTTGAAAGAAGCTATCTTGATCACTGCTCCAGATAAGCACGTGCAAGTAATCAAGCCTTTAATTTAAAAGAATGCCTAACCAATCAGCAAAGATGAACAGATAAAAAGCTCTGAATAATTTGAACAATTTTTAAATCAACTTCTGTAAAAAGTATAGTTAAAACTAGCGAAGTTAAAGCAATAACATAGGAAAAAAGCATTATAATCAAGGACTGATTCGAGGGAAAAACCATCTCCCAAAAAGCTACAAAAGAAACAAAAAACTAACCAAGGAAATTAACTGGTCAGGCTTGATCAAAGAAGGAAAACCCCCAAGGCATTGTAACTTGGAACTACACAAATAAAAAGCGGAAAGAAGCAATCAGTCAAAGCCGAAGCAGCAGATGGAAAAAAAAAGCAGAGCGAAGCAGCATGGATCACAAACAATTCTTAATCGAAGCATCACAAAAATTGCCAAATAATGGAAACAACTAATTATGAGCCAAACTCACGTGAACATAAACATAAATTTGTCCGATGTTCAATGTTTGACATTCTAAGAAATGTCAGATCATAATATATATATATATATGCAATGTAGCTATCTTAAGGATTTTTCCAGATCAGTAGTCGAACATAACTGAATGCCTTACTAATCAAAAGAGATGAAGACATCAAAAGCTTTGAAATTATTGAATGATTATGAAAGCAACATGTCTAAAAAAAAGACAAAAGGAGGCAAAGTATGAGTAGCAACATAGAAAAAAAGCATCATAACGGACGACTGATTTGAGGCAAAAATCATCTTCCAACAGCTTCAAGAGAAATTTAAAATAAACCAAGAAAATTCACTTGTCATGGTTGGTGAAAGAAGTAAAACCTCCAGAACTGTAACTTGGAACTGTAGAAACAAAAAAACCAAAACTAGTAATTAGACGAAGAGGAAGCTGCAAAGGCAAGGAAAAGGAAAAGAGGACTGAAGCAACATTGATTAGGAAAAAAAATATCAGTTGTAGAATAACTCAAATTGCCAAGCAATAACATAGGAAAAAAACATCATAATCAAGGACTTATTCGAGGGAAAAACCATCTCCCAAACAGCTACAAAAGAAACAAAAATCTAACCAAGGGAATTCACTGGTCAGGCTTGATCAAAGAAGGAAAACCCCCAAGGCATTGTAACTTGGAGCTGTACAAACAAAAAACGAAAAGAAGCAATCAGTCAAAGCTGAAGTAGCAGATGAAAAGAAAAGAAAAAGCAGAGTGAAGCAGCATGGATCACAAAGAATTCTTAATCGAAGCATCACAAAAGTTGTCAAACAATGGAAACAGCTAATTATGAGCCAAACTCGAATGAACATAAACATAAATTAGTCCGATGTTCAATGTTTGACATTCTGAGAAATGTCAGATTATTATTATTATTATTATTATTATAATTATTATATATATATATATATATATATATATATATATATATATATATATATATATATATATATATATATATATGAAATTTAGCTATTTTGAAGATTTTTCCAAATCCGTAGTCGAACATAACTGAATGCCTAACTAATCAAAAGAGATGGAGACATCAAAAGCTCTGAAATCATTGAATGATCATGAAAGCAACATGTCTAAAAAAAAAGAGAAAAGCAGGCAAAGTATAAGCAATAACATAGCAAAAAAAGCATCATAATCAACGACTGATTCGAGGCAAAAATCATCTTCCAACAGTAATTTAAAACAAACCAAGAAAATTCACTTGTCAAGGTTGGTGAAAGAAGCAAAACCTCAAGAACTGTAACTTGGAGATATAGAAACAAAAAAACCAAAACCAGCAATTAGACAAAGAGGAAGCTGCAAACGGCAAGAAAAAGGAAAAGTGGACCGAAGCAGCGTTGTTCAGGAAAAAAATATCAGTTGTAGAATAAGTCAAATTGCTAAGTAATAGGAAAAAAGAGCATACCAAGAAATTCCCACCTTTCTTTAAAATGTTTCCATGGGAAAACATCAATCACATGCCTAACTCGCAGATATAATATCTCTCATCTAATTATGACTTATAGTAGATTAACTTGTATGTTGTTCAATGTTTTCTTAATTATAGTTAATAATAAAGGTCCTGAATTCTCAGAAATGTTTTTCTTTTCCGCAAGTAATTGAATAGAAAACTAATAAAAAGTGATGGATAGATAAAAATCTAGGAATCTAGTGAATGGACACATCAATCAACTTGTCTAAAAGCACATAGAAAACCAGGTGAAATATAAGACTTAAAATAACAAAAAAGCATCATAATCAATGATCAATTCGAGGGGAAACGAAACCTCTTAACACCTTCAAAAGGAATAAACAACGAAAGAAGAGAACTTACTTGTTAGGCTCGAAGAAGGAAGGATAGGCTATGAGGAACAGTATTTTGGAACTGCATAGAAGGAAAAGCAAAAGCAGCTATCAGCGAAAATAAAAAAGGAACTGAAGGAGCGTCCATCACAAACAATTCTTAAACAGAGCATGATTGAAACCGCCAACAAATGGACAAAAAAGCATTATGGACAACATTTAAAAAAACAAAGAACAAACAGAAGGAGAGGTAATAAATAATGTTTACCAATTAATATAGCCAATCAATCGAGAAGTAACCAAGGCAGACCAATCAAGATTAGGAATTCGAGGAACATGAACAAACAAAAAATTCACCCTGAAAGATCAAAAATCCTATAAATAACAACACCTCACCACAGTCCATAAAGAATAGGACCTGGGTAAAAAAAAAGGGAAGAGAATGCTGCATAATGTAAAACAAAAGAATAAACAGCGGTATACACTCTGCAAGCGAAAAGCTGAGATGCATCTATAGAAGGAACTTTTAACCAAGTTAATTATTCAACGCTAGCATCAGAAGGTAGGGCAATTACGTGCAGCAATAAGCGGTGAGATGCATCAATATGAAACTGGCGAGAACCATCTAAAGATAACGAAAAAAAGAACAACTTAAATGAGAAGCACCAAAAACAAAACCAGAGAGGCAAGCACATGAACAGAGAAAGCACAAACAAAAGCCAAAAATAAGAGCACATAAACCCAAGAAGAAGCAACATACAGGTCTGAGGCAAAAGCATTTTAAAAAAAGGCAACAATGGAAGCTGCAGACCGAGCAAGGAAGGAAAAAACATAAAGCAGTCAAAAAGAAATAGAGAGGGATAATAACCTGAAGCATTTGCGAGAACAATCAGAGGCAAACAACGAAGAAAGAAGGAGGCAAAAATGAGATCCTGATTAGAAAGAAGAACCAATAAGAATGCAAAAATGTAAGTCATAGGCCGAACGTGATATAAATATAAGAAGTTGTAGGGAAAATCAGAGGAGCACAGTAAAATAAAGAAATTGAAAATCATAAGAGCACGTAAGAGAAACAGGAAGCACGAAAAGAAGGAAGGAGCTCTTATCTTTTTTGCGAAAGGCGCGGAAGCAGCAACTGTTTGTGCACGTCGCGTGAAATCGGGAAAAGCATGGATCAATCTCGTCCCAAAACACCACAATCTCCATGTCGATTCAGAGGAAGTGGTTGAACAAAGGACAACGGGAGAAACGAAAAAAAAATCTGAGAAAAAAGAAAAGGTACAATCACATTAAATGAGCAAGTTGCAGTGATGAACAAAGAAGAGAATGCGATTACAAAAAAAACCCGCAGGGAAAAGAGGAAAAAAAGGGAAAGAGATGGCTTTAGGGATAGAGATGTCAATGGACAAAGAACCTAAGACAAATTGGTACCAAATCATTAAATGCGACGTCCGATCGATGGTGAAGGGACGGCCGAAGGCAGGAGCAGAGAGGGAAAAAACGAAAGAGACGGCGAGGAAAACACGGGATTGAAAAGAAAGAGGGAAACGAAAGCATGGAGCCTGAGGGGCAGAGACGTAAATGACCTAAAGAAACAAATGGCAAAACAGAAATAATTGAGAAGGAAGAGGGGCGAAACTGAAGAACACCAAGAGAAACAAACAATAAGGCAGACAATACATAGACATCAAACGGCCAACAACGATCTAACCGTAATCAAGGGCCAAGATCGAAGGAAAAATAACCAACAGTACAACTGAGTCTTCAACAACAGTAAACATGAGTCTTGAGCAACAGTAAGTTAATAGGCAACACCTCACTTCTTTTAATTTTTTTTTTAAATAATTGATTTGTTTTTATCAATTAAGATATTTTAAAAAAGAAAATTATTGAAAATTTGGACCAGATAATGACAAATATAAATATAAAAAAGAAAATCTCTTTACAACAAAAAAAAGTATTATTTGTGATAAATTCATATTTTCAGATAATATTTTATCTTTTATTTTTCTAAAAGTGAATTTTCGGTGATTCAAAACTGGTCTGGTTTGGTATGGAAGTGCCATCTTGGTAAATAATCCCGAAAACCACGGGGTGTTAAAAGAAGGAGAGATTTCTTGGGGACAATTGCTACTAGATTTTAGATAGGCAAAATAAAGGGACTCACACTCTCTCAGTCTCTCACTGTCCTTTTGTTTGTTAGCTTCTTCTATTCTTATTATCACTCTCTCACTCAACGGCTCTCTGTACGCACCACAGAGTCAATCAGAGGCACTAGCTTCGAGTGACCAAGAAAATTCTAAAATCTCTAGATCTGAAAGTAATAAACCCTCCTAAAAAGCCCTAGCTTCTTTCAAGGGCGATCTGGGTAAGCATTATTATTTGGCTGTTTTTGATCTTATTTTCAGTATTGTTTATATTGTTTTTTCGGTGCATCAAGAGACCCAAGTGGTTTTGAACTTGTACTTGTACTTCATTTAGTGAATGTAGGATTTTCTTAGTTAGAAAATGGTGGTGCGTTTTTTTTTCTTAAGCTTGAGATCTTGTTAAAAAAAATCTAGATTTGTGCCAGTAAGCTGTTTAATCGAGTGGGTTTTAGAAGTTCATTAAAATAAGGCTTTGTTTTTGTTTCTGGGAAAAATGTGAGGCCAATTAAGTTTAATGGTATGATAATTGGGATTTGTAAGTTTCTTTTAGTAAAATAAGCTGGCAGCTGAGAATGTGGTAAGCAAGAGGGAGAAAATTGCCTTTTTTTTTTATTTAATCTTTAATTTCAGTAGAATATATGTTGTTCCCTGTTTGGGTTTGTTAATAAAGTGGGAAAGGGCAAGATATTAAGATTGTTTTAGTTCCTGTTTTGTCTTTTACAAGACTGACACAATTAGTGAATTATTGTGTTAGGCTAAGCACAGATGTAGTTTTCTTTTTTCTTTTTCAGGTCGAAACTACAACTTATTCAAGTTCATAATTTTACCTCCTCTCTTTCTTTTTATGCATTTTCTTAGAATTGAAAAAGCTTCGGCAAGCTGTAAGTCAGTTTAAAGATCTGTATGTTTCTGTCAATAATGTAACAAGATTGCTAAATTCCATGCGTTGAATCTTGTATGTTAGTAAATCTCTTTGCTTTTAAAGAAAGACAAGGGGCAGTTAGTTTATTGTGAAACTTCCACAAATTAGAAGGAATATATATATATATATATGTATATATCTACTGCATATGTTAACGCATTGCAGTTAACTTTTAGTTTTCCATATTGAATGACATTTAGTGCACAATGCATTTGCAATTAAACAAGTTAGGTGGTCTTTCCTTAAATGTTTCCAGATCTTATTCAGTTTAATGTTTTTCAACTACCCTTATTCTATAATTACTCCTGATTAGTCGTTTGTCCCTGCTGGCGTGTATGTTTTACTTGTCTGCGAAAGGTACTTTTCCTTCTGGTCAATAAGGTATGTTGCATCAGTCTCTATAGGACCTATCATGGTCCTGTCTATGGATTACTGAATGTCTTTTGAATGCACCATGTGGTTGAAGTTAGGTTGCAAACTAACGTGAATGGCGGTCACGGATGCGCAAAACCCTCTCCTTGGAGAAACAACTTGTGGCACTTTATTGCAAAAGCTCCAGGTATTTTATCTTATTGATTGATCAAGTCTGTGTCATGAAGAAATGATAACTTAGTGAGCCCTGATGTGGTGTAGGAAATCTGGGATGAGGTTGGTGAAACTGATGAGGAACGGGACAAGATGCTTATTCAAATAGAACAGGAGTGCTTGGACGTGTATAAGAAGAAAGTTGAGCAGGCTGCGAAGTCAAGGGTACAGCTTCTTGAGGCCTTGTCAGACGCCAAAATAGAACTTGCTTGTCTTCTATCAGCTCTTGGAGAAAAAAGTTTTGCAGGAATTGTGAGTAGTTTATGCAACTTAGTCTTGTATGTCCTCCTTAACTATATATCCAAAGTGTCAAGCATGATGGTTATGTGTCAATGCAAAAACTCCTTATGATAATGAACAGTGAAAACTGGGCTCTTTATGGTTTGTCTTGGTTTTAATTGCAGCCTGAGAAGACTTCAGGAACAATCAAGGAACAACTTGCAGCTATAGCACCAGTACTTGAACATCTGTGGGAACAGAAAGCAGAGAGAGTAAAGGAGTTTTCTGATGTACAGTCACAGATTCAAAAAATATGTGGTGAAATTTCTGGGAACTTAAATATCAATGACACTCCTGCAGTTGATGAAGCTGACTTATCCCTAAAGAAGTTAGATGAATATCATGCTCAACTTAAAGAGCTTCAAAAGGAAAAGGTAAACCTCTCTATCTTGGAAATGGTGCATCAGATAATTTCTAGCTTTCTAGATCTGTCAAGTTAATCATTAACTGCGTATTTTAAATTTTAGAGTGATAGGTTGCACAAGGTCCTCGAGCTTGTGAGCAGTGTGCATGATCTCTGTGCTGTCCTTGGGATGGACTTCTTCAGTACAGTAACTGATGTTCATCCAAGCTTAAATGACTCAACTGCTGTGCAATCAAAAAGCATCAGCAAAGATACATTAGCAACACTTGATAAAACAGTCTTAGTGTTAAAAGAAGATAAGAAGCAAAGGCTTCATAAGGTAAGTCTTTTTGCATTTTAGCTTTCTCTGCTAGGGAAAGAAAAGTATATTTTCCTTGGTACATTTCACATGAACCTAAAGACGTAAGACTTTTGTATTACTTGAAGGCTTTAACCAAATGATGATCCTCTAGATCAATCCATAGCATAGAAGTATTATGTGATGAAGAAATGGGATAGGAATTTTTACATCTTTCAACTGAAAAAAAATCAGCTATGCTATACGAGGATCCTCTTTCCTCAAGGCTTGTTTTTTTGTTGTTATATAAGTTTATCTAGTGAACTAAACATGTCTGCATGATACTTTCGGAAAACTGCATCCTTAGTGAATACTTGTAGTTCAGATGTATTCTTTGAACCGTAGGGAAAACATTGTTTTGCATCATATTTCTGTTTGGCATCTTCATGACATATAAAACAAGTATGGTTTCCTCGAGATTTGTACTTTGTATTTTTTTTTTATAGCACCGGTGTAATTTGCATAACATCCGAAGGGGAACAACCTCTGCAGCTTCTTTTATATAATGAAGTGTAACATTGGATTCTTTATGTGCATGCTTGATTTGAATCACGTGCTTCTGTTCTCCACTAAAATTCATAATATCTTTGATTTGTATCTTCCTACTACAGCTTCAAGAGCTGGCAAATCAGCTTATTGACCTGTGGAATCTGATGGATACTCCAATGGAAGAAAGGAAATTGTTTGACCATGTTACCTGTAACATGTCAGCTTCCGTTGATGAAGTGGCTATCCCGGGAGCTCTGGCTCTGGATCTGATTGAGCAGGTATTTGAATTCTGCAATTAAATATACCTAAAAGTTTGAATAACTTGTTTGGTGAAAACTGTGAAAGTTGCATACTGATTTTACTATTATTTGCTTTTTTAAGGCTGAGGTTGAAGTTGAAAGACTTGATCAGTTAAAAGCCAGCCGGATGAAAGAAATTGCCTTCAAAAAGCAAGGAGAGCTTGAAGAGATATATGCACGAGCTCATATAGAGATAGATCCAGAGGCTGCTCGAGAAAAGATTATGGCACTCATTGATTCTGGGAATGTTGAGCCTGCTGAGTTACTGGCTGACATGGACAATCAGATATCAAGAGCCAAAGAAGAGGCTCTAAGCAGAAAAGAAATTTTGGATAAGGTTGAGAAATGGATGTCAGCATGTGAGGAAGAGAGTTGGCTAGAAGACTACAATCGGGTATTATGATCTCCCTCCTTCTATGTTTGCATGTTGTCACACGGCTATTTTGAGAGTTTCAATGACTGCTCCCTGGAGATCTCTCCCACTGCTTTCTTGTATAGTGGTGGAGCGCATCATTTTTTTTTAGGAAGGACCATTGCTGAAACACATGTACTTCATAAAATTTTTATTTTATTTTATTTTTTTTGAAGGGGGGGGGGGTATATTTTAGGTGAAGGAGGGCCATGGACTTCTGTCACCCAAGAAATTCCTTCATCATGAGCCCATCTATAGGTCCCCTTTATGTGGGGAATACTATTTTCTTTGCTTACTACTGTTTTGTTTGGCTGATCATAGGTTTATGCATTTAGCGAGTGATCTCGCTTGCTGATGCTTTTATTTTATTTAATTGTGTAATCACGTTTACCTAGTAACAGGTTATCTTTGTCCCTAGTTTTCTCCGGAAGATGATAGGTGTGTGGTAGTGATCTTGCTTGCTGATGTTTTTATGTTATCTAATTGCATGTTCCATAGTCGCCCTACTAACAGGACATCTGTCTCATTTGGACATTATATGACTGGAAAAATTCTGAGTCTTAATGGTAAATGATGAGGTTAAACATAGTAAAAGGATCTAGAGACTGGGTGTTCTAAAAAGTATATGAAATTACTTGCACCACAGCTGGTTTGATGATTTTCCTTAAATGGCATCGTCTTTCTGAAACAGGATGAGAACAGGTATAATGCGAGCAGAGGTGCACATTTGAATCTCAAGCGTGCAGAAAAAGCTCGGATTCTGGTTAATAAAATTCCAGGTATGTGTAGAATCAGGAAACCACGGAGTTGGCAAATCAACATCCTCTCTTTTCAAACTTTGTATGTTGATGCAATGGAAAATCTGCATCCATAGATTTAATTGGTTTTGTTGGCCATGTAGCCTTGGTTGACACCTTGGTTGCCAAAACACGGGCATGGGAAGAAGATCGTGGCATACAGTTTGCATATGATGGTGTGCCTCTCCTTGCCATGCTAGATGAATATGCCATGCTCAGGCAGGAAAGAGAAGAAGAGAAACGGAGGATGAGGGTGAGTTCCAATTTAGAAACTATTACACTGTTTGAGCACATGCATGCATGTGAACCACAATGTGTTGACTTGATTTGGGCCTGGAATGATATTTGTTCAAATATTCTACCTTGCTAAAATGAGATAACCTTGGATATAACAGGATCAGAAGAAGTTTCATGAGCAGCAAAACACAGAACAAGAAGCCATTTTTGGTTCAAGACCTAGTCCTGCTCGTCCAGTTGGTACGAAGAAGGTGGTTGGTCCCCGTGCAAATGGAGGTGGTAATGGAACTCCCAGCAGGCGGCTATCTCTAAATGCTCATCAAAATGGGAGTAGGTCTGCAACTAAAGATGGAAAGAGGGATAATAGGCTATCTGCCCCTGTTAACTATGTTGCCATATCCAAAGATGATGCTGCCTCCCATGTTTCTGGCACTGACACAGTTCCTGCTTCACCGTGATAAAATAAGAGAGATCTGTAGGTTTACACCTTGATATATTACTGTTGTTTTTAGGAGCTTGTTGTAGTCATATAGTTACGAAAACTGAGAAACTGGAGAGCGAACTGTTTTTAGTTGTGTATGCTGTTCTAAGCCTTGCTGCTTTGTATCTTCAGAACGATTTATTTTTTTTATTTTTATTTTTTTATTTTTGCAGTGCCTGGTTACTCGCGCTTTGCATCTAATGAAGAAGCAGCTATTGAATTTTTGTCTACTAGAATAGATAAACCCTGAGATTTGGTACTGCGAAATGTGAGTAGGATGTCTGAGCTGAATTATGTGGTAGCTCGAAGGTCAATAACTCGAAAAATGGCCATTAACAAAGTGGCGGATGGGCCAGTAGCTCGTAATAAACAATCATACGAGCAGCTTGTTCGTTACCCAACTGACCTGTCTGGTAATTTTTTCACACAAGGTGCACAAACCAATAGCCAGATTGTATTGAACCAAGAATCTCATCTACAGTACTACTAGTTACGCAGGAAAGGGAAAAATGTGTTTACTCTTTATGATGAGTTGACTACTAGTCAACAAAACTCATTTATTACTTACAATAAATGATTGACATGTTTTCCTTTATATTAAAAAATATAGTAAAATAAGTAAATTAAATAAAAAGAACAAATTTCAGTTCTTATTTTGTGTAAAAATAATAAGATAAAGAAAACAAGTGTGTATATATATATATATATATATATTTAACCAAAGATATAAAAGTTAAGGACTACAATAAATAAAAGTCAATTTTTCTTCTTTGAATCAAACAATCAATCCAAAACTCAAACAAAATAACCTCACTATTCACACCAATGGTACAAATCTACTTAAATACTATATATGTTCAATTTGTTTGTTAAAATTAATCAAAAATTTAGTTAATTTTATCATGCATTAATTTATGTTATTTTTTTAAAAAAATTTGACAAGTGTCTAAATTATACGACAAATGGATTGGACTAAAGATAAACTTCGTCGAGCACAAAAAATTGGATTGCATAAAAAAGAATACGAGTATTCTAACAAGATTAGTGTCAATGCTTTATTTTTAAAATGTATTAGAAAGATTGACTTGATGAATACGGAATAGGATATGCTAGATGAAGGCTCCATTGTTACTTTCTTTAGCCTTTTTATATCAAGTTAAGTAGTTTAGTAAAAAAAAAAAAAAAAAAAATCTAATTTTTCAATTCAAATCGACCATTCGAACATGGATGACATGTCATAATTTTAGCAGTCAAAGATCATCTTCAAGTCACAATAAATACCAACCTCATATCACCTGTAAAGGGATCCCTAACTTTTAATCTCTAACAAAAGAATCTCTCTCTCTCTCTCTCTTACCAAACCTTGCCCAAAGTTCCATGTGTTAGACTTTGTGTAATAACCCAAACTGTTACTAAATAAATTAAAAATGTATTAAAGGTGTGAGAAAAATATTTCATGGGAAACTATTTCATAGGCATGGAATGATTGTAAAAAAAAGTTGATAGGACATTCGGTGTGCTTAGGATAATTTTTCGATGCTTAGTGAACATTTTATCCGATTTTCGATGCATGAATAATGACATTTTATGCAACGTAATTGCTTTGCGCATTTTAATTGAGCATGAAAAATGTTCTACTTGCATAGAATATTTGTTAGAGGGATGCTAGATTATTTGATGCCATTGGATGAATTTTTTAATGTTCGGTGACTATTTTATTTAAATTTTACGATGCATGAATAGTTTAGGTAAATTAATTATTCTAAGCTGTTTTAAAGGTATAAAAAAATTATCCAATGGGTATAGAAAAATCATTTAGGATGTGTAGGAATATTCCATGAATTTAGATTAATTTTTCTAAGCATAGGGAATATTTTCTATAAAAATAAATGCATTTTTACACCAAATAATTAATTAGAAGACTTAAATAAGTATATAAAAATTATATGAATGGTGCATAAATTCTTATTGAAGGAGTTTGAATTTATTATGAAAAGAAATTAATTTTTTGAAAGGTGTGGCATACATTTTATAGAATTAGAGACCTAATTGCATAGAATTAAAAGTTTGAACTTTCAAATTAAGTTAGGAATAAACTTTAGGAATTAAAATTTTTTTAGAAAATCTTTAAAGGAAGGGCCTAAAGTGATCAATTGAATAATTGAAGGACTTATGGAAGAGTAATTGAACGAAAGTTAACAAATGAAAGGACTAAAATTAAGCAATTTTTGAATGTCTAATAAGATCTCATAGTGCCATCCCTCGGTAGCACCCTCGGCTCGTGCTCTACTTAGACTTACACCCAGTCATCTTTCGATCCTATCAACTACTTCATCACATTGACGGTATAGATAGACTTGATATGAAGGATTTCGTATTTGCGGTAATTGGTAATACTCCTCTATTGTAGGAGTCATATCTATGTTTTTCATGATGAAGCATCGATGTGAAGGGTCCCATAGAGAGATGAGAGCCCTCAACATAGGCTTTTGAACCGGTATCTCTATTAATGCCGCTAAGTTTTCGTATTTGTGCTTGAACACCCGTTTGTCACTAGCGGTTAAGAGTTCCAAACATTCATGGATTTTGTTAGTGTCGTTGATCATCAACTATAGCTTGGTTATTGGGCGATGGTCACTCCGAAATCCCTCTTGTAGGTAATCTCTCTCCACTTGCCGAAGGGCTTCATATTCCGTTTGGAAAATCGATGCCGGCTTGAAATGTACCTAAACTCTTTTGTCATCTATCCCGAAACATCATGACCAAATTATTTTAATCAAGGTTTCAAACATGTCCGACTTGCCCGAGTGTGTTAAATAAGGGGTAGATGGTCCTAAAGTCTAGTTCTAGCCATTACATGAGTGGGTAGGCTCTATCTAGGTCTTAAAAAGGTACCTTCTAGCCTAATGAGTCTTTAGTCGAGTCATTAGAACTATCCATTGTGACATCGGCAATCGTGAAAAATCATCGATTACTCATCACCGATGGTAGCTAGCAAGAAGGCTCGAGGTTTCATGAGTATTTACCCGGGGTGAAACCCATCGGGGCACCATTACTAACTCCTTAGATCCTAAGGCGGATGTAAATGAGAGTTATAATTATGTAGTGTAGTGTGTGAGTGTAACTCTCGTGAACTTGCTTAACGTAGCTATACGTAGAAAATAATTTTATCTACATCTACTAAGTTGCAATTATAATTTTTGTGTTATGTTTGTGTTTGGTGACTTTAAGATGCTTGGGTAAAAAAAAAAAAATTTTGGCATACCAAAATTTAATTCCCGAGCCCAAATATCCGTTGAAATATTCATGATTATGTAAGCATAAATTGTGTGCCATTTCTTTTATATTTGTGGTGTGAAAAATATTTAAAGTTTATGGAATTGTTCATAAGAATACTTTTCTTCGAAAATTAATTAATCATTTTTTTCATAATGTATAGTTAAAATGACTATGCAAGTGAAAAATATGTCCACTTAAGAGTCATGGTCGGATTTTAGGAACCAAATAAGGTAAGAAAGTTGGTTAGTTTAGTTACCTTTTAGTTTCTCTCTTTAGTTAGTGATGTGACATTAAATCTTTCACCATATTTCCATTTGTACTTTCTCATATAATTTTGAAAGGTTAAACACTTCAAATTGCCTCTCTTTTTGTCTCCATCAATTGACCTCTCTTACCACAAAAATTGGACACTTGGCATGCTAAAACATGAAAGAAATAATGCTTTAAAAAGGTGTGATATAAAAATGCAAAGAAAGCTTAAAACTTTACCTTTTTTTTTGGCAAAACCGTAGCTTTCAAAGAGAGGAGAGAGAGGGATGGTTTTGTGGGGAAAGAAAGGAGAAAAAGAAAGGGAAGAAAGAAAGGAGAAAAAGAAAGGAAAAAAATAAAGGAGAAAGAGAAGAAAAAGGCTGAGAAATCTTAACCAAACACACATCATTGTAAGTAGGTTTCATTTAGCTTTATTTATGCCTTAAAAATTTAAATTTTCATGTTTAGTTTATGAATTTTTTTAAGCCATGTGATATGTGGTTATGGTAGCTTGTGTTGATGTTAAAAATTTGATGTTTGGTGATGGATTTATGATGTTTTGATGATGGATTTATTATGGATGTTGGATGTGCATTTCATAGTAAACTTTATGTTAGAATGTGTAAGTATGCCATGTATATGTATGATGATGGATGGTTATACATGTGTGATGGGTTAGTTTGGTGATAACTATATGTGATGAAAAATGTGTTTTAAAAGAAAAATTTTGAATTTTAGGGGAGGAAAATTTGTGTGATTTATTTAAGGATCTTAAAGTGATTTTTGGGTAAAACTCAAATAATAAAATTTGTTCATCTATGTGTCATTAGCTTTCTGTAAAATTTTATAATTTTTAGATCTAGATATAAAGAGTTATGATCGATTTGGTATAGATCGTTTGGATGTACTATTGCTGGAAATTTTTGAGTTTAGGGAGAGGGAGTTTCAAAATTTAATGGAAAGAAATGAGTTTAAGTACTTAAAATTGGTTAGTTAGGGTGTTTAGTTAGCCTAAGTATTTAGTTAGACACCTAAGCCACCATAATATAACCATATGGGTTTGGAAGATATATATGAATGGGCTTGGATTTAAAATAAAGTGGACTTGAAATAAAACACATAGACTTGGTCTAAAACAAATTGGGCTTGGACTAAAATAAAAAGGCTTTGGTTTACAATCAATGGACTTAAGTGAAAATAAAATGGGCTTGGATTAAAATAAAATGGAATTGAATTACAATAAATGAACTAGGGCTTGGATTAAAATAAATGGGTTTTGACTAAAACAAAATGAGTTTGGATGGAAATAAATGGACTTGGATATCCTAAAAACACTTAGTGGACCTTGGTACTAAAATGATCAAGTTAGATTTATATTTATGGACCTAAAGATCTAGACTTCCAAAGTAATCCACATAAGTATAATTTAATACATTAAGATGGAAAGAA